AGCCGTTATCTGTGGTGGAGAACGTGGGGTTTAAGGGACAACTTGAATGCTTTTCTCCTTTTTTTTCTCTTAATGCATTGCATAAAGATCGGATTGGGAAAAATCGGTATCGGCAGATTGTCAAAATCAAATGATCGGAATCGGATCGGGAGCAAATAAAGGTGATCGGGACATCCCTAGTCCATTCTGTCCTTTTCTTTAATGTCATGGTTCGGTAACCTACCTTTAAAGAGCAGAAACTCTTTACCTCAGATCATAAAGAGGTCCAGCAGACTGATTAGTGAGCCACAGCTAAACCTGGAGACCCTGAACCTCAGGCAGTTACAGTGGTTATCCAGCTCTATACTGAATAGCCACTTTCACACCAAGTACTTTGCGGTACTTAGTTCCCGGTACTTAGTGCCCCCGAACTTTTCAGTCCCTGGAACTGTCCTGTAGATCGCGTTCACACCGGAATAAGTCCCTGAGGGAGAATTACGCAAATGAAGCCGCTGACGTCACTTCTTCTTCTTCTGCTGCTTTGGGTTTACTGGCAGAAGTGATCCTTCGTTGTGAAGAGTCTGCTTTATGCGCTCCGCAGCACAGCAGTAGCCCCGCTGCGACAGAGTCCAACAGAGAGGCAGGAGCTGTGTGGACGGAATACTTTTTTGATATCGATTTCGGTCCGTTAGCATTATCGTCCTTGTGTGGCTCCAGCCTTAGTAGCACCAGAGACGTGTGAGAGTACTGCCTAGCACAGTGTGTTGGTTACAGACTGACTGGGACAGGTCTGAAGTCACACCTCTTAAACTTTAACAAGCTAACGGAAAAATAAAATGCATGAAATCCCCCCAAAAACAACTAATTTGTAGATTTAGTGATCCCTTTCACTAATAGTTGATAACTACAGCTGCTGGTGGTGTGTGGACCTCACATAGGGGGGTCCAGGAGCAAGCTCCCCCGGGAAGATTTATTTTTAAATATTGAAGTTAAATGCATCAATCTGGTGCACTTTGAGAGCAACATGAAGAGATCTATGGATACCTCTCTCAACACCCATATGAAACAGAACTGTAAACAGATTTACTTTTTCTTTATGGATATTTTACAAATCACCTTTAAAACTTTATTCTTTTTTTACTGTCATATAGTATTTCATACCTGTTTTTCATTTATTCTCTTATTTTTTTTATAACTATAATGATCATATAAACGTATGCCTCGGAAATAACTGTTTACATTAATGGTGACCAAAACATTTGAGACCCACTGAGATAACACTGAGAGAGTCCTTTAGCTCACTGAGTCTCTCAGTCTGACAGGAGAGGACTCTCCTCCACTTTGTTGTTGAAAAAACTCCTTATATCCGTTAGCGTAGCTCGCTAGCACCAGAAGCTAACAACAACGATCTCCGGTACGCTCTCTCTCTCGCACGCACACAAAATGGCTCGTTCCACACACACACAGTGCCGAGCTTTAATGAAACACAGAGTCCCAGACGTAATAGTACTGTACTGTATCATATTATTTTCGAATCAATAATTTTTGCTGTTTCATTCTGCCATGTGCTTTAATGCATGGCCCCCTCATTCAGGTCAATTCGTCATGCACTCCCTCCCTCGCTACTCGTACACACACCCAGTAAACACTTAGGTGCATGTGTCTGAGCAAAGAACTAAAGAGTGCAGCTACTGCTGTCATGGGGCCCAGGGGGGGTCAGTACACCTGGGCTGGGCTTGTCAGCATCAAGGGTGAAGATCAATGCTGTCAAATCTCAAAAGGTTGCAGCCCCCTTAACAGCAAGCCTTAGCAGTGTGGAGAGGGGCTTGAGGTTTACCTCCCTGGGAGATCTTCTACACAAAAATAATGCCCATGGAGCTGGTTATTAATAAGCCTAAAACAATACTATTTAAAAGTGTAATTTTCACAACAAAGAGATGCCTTTCCCACATTTCTTTGAGCTATGCAGGTACAGTATTGTGCAACCCAGGCGGGCGGGCTACCAGATGCCAACAAAGAGGGGAGGGAAAAAAAGCAGGAAGCGTGGCGTTGAATTACACAGGGCTGATTGGTGGGAGGCAGGGCTTAGGTCAGGGGAGGACAGGGAATACGAGGCCTGGGGTTGTAGCCAGAGCCACATGGTGCATTCACTGCTGACCCCTTACAGCAGGGTAAACACGCTGAAGACATAAAAGCCGACACACACAAAGTAAAACTGCTCATGAATTCCTCCCTTGGGAAAGAAATCACTATGACAAAAAACTGGAAATAAATAATATAAAAGCAAATCCTTTTTGGTGGGTGTGGCCCGTTTCAGGGCTACAGCCAAACAGAACTCTGCACACTTCAATGTGTTCCAGATGGTGATGTCATTTAATTTCTGGAAATGCAGAAATCTGACTACAAGTGATATATTAAATGAGAACCGAGAAGACATGCAAACGCTCGAGGGGCAAAATAGGTGATACCCTCTTGGGGTTAAGGACATTTTTGGATTGCATTTTATCTTCTATAAATAGTGCAATTGGGCCATGATTTTTGTACCTGGCAAATGCATCAATTTAACCATGGAAAAGCAAATAAACCTTCAACTTTAAAAACTACACTATGACTCATTTTTCTCTCCTTACTGAAATAACTTATTGTACTCACTACTTAACTATCTATCTAAATGGTTGAATAACAATAACACACATATATGTACTTATCAGCTCAATCAACGTAAAAAGGCAACTAGAATCTGTCAGTAAAAAGAAAAAAGTTTGAATTATTGGCACTTTCATGTTAACATATGTGACTGCACACAAACAATCTTAAAGGTCCCATGTCATGCTTTTCTGGTTATTACCCGTCCCCTTGTGTGTTATGTAGCTTTGTATGCATCTACACCAGGGGTGGGGAACCTTTTTCCTCTCAAGGGCCATTTACATTTTTCAACATCCTCCGAGGGCCGTACAAATTATTGACCTCTGCTTAAAAATACTAAAATCACAGCCCATTAATTTCGCCTTTCTTTCATGCTGTGCAAAGAAAAAGCAACCTCTTAATCCAGATATCTTACCATGACTCGCGCATGCATGCACGTGCCCGACAATGCAAACATGTTGGTGTTCCTTGCTCGAAAACTTTGAAATACAGATTTGGATATGGCCTGTTGGGCATCTGGGGTCTTTGTACAACAGTGGACTGTACACATATATGTATATATATATATATATATATATATATATATATATATATATGTATATATATATATATATGTATAGATATATATATATATATATATATATATATATATATATATATATATATATACACACATATATATATATATATATATACACACATATATATATATATATATATATATACACACATATATATATATATACACACATATATGGGACATTTTCATATTGTTTGTCGCCGACCAACAGTGCGAAATACAAAGTTATGTCATTTATGATGACAAAAGACATCAAACGCTACACTTTTCTGCACTCAGCAATATTGCAGCCATTAATACCGGCCAGAAACATAAATAAAATGATGCTATTAGATGTTGAACCAAAACCAAATGTCAAGACCCTGTACCCTGCCTTCAAACATAAGATTGATCTCATATCACCCTAAAGTACACATCCTCACTGTCAAGATACCAGGGCTGCTGCTGCAGAGTGTGTGTGTGTGTGTGTGCGTGCGTGTGCGTGTGCGTGTGTCATATCAGCACAACAACATGCAAGCGTGCATACAGTACTTGACAGAACCAAATTAGACCTGCCAGTGCCACCCCCCTGACCCACAGTGCCTCAATTCTCTGCTATAAATCCTTTAATCCTTACTGAGGGACATCCTGTTGGACACTGCCCTGGGTCCTTCAGAGGAGCATTGTCATAGTTTGGGGGGAAAGTCTGTGTAATCCTGCTATAATGATACACAATAACTTTACTATTATTATTTTCACCTCGCATATGGTTGAATACATGGCACAGCCTTCGCAGGAGGACTTGTCGGGGTGACAATGATGTGAATGAATCTTTTGTTTTGCGGCTTGGGGATTTAGGTACCCAGAGTGCTTGGCTGTAATGGCTTTATTATTATTAGAGAGCTGGGCATGTGCCACATTTCAAAGCCATACTCTTGATATAATTCCTCCCTTTGCAAAATGTGTGTATGCATATTATGATTTACAAATTTGAAATCTGCAAGCCATGACCGTTTCTCCATATATAGCCATAGTCTTGCCTAAGCTTATGAAGTCAATATGCACTGCACATGTATTTTTACACAATGTGGGATTCTGTTCAACAGGTCTACCTCGTTATATCCATTTGTATGTACAGTCATAATGGCTTCTACATATCTACCGTCTTCACAATTGAAACGTTGGGCTTTTACATAACCTTCAATGTATCTTAAGCTCTGCTAATTATACAATGTATAGCCGTTTATCTTGCTGCAGTCACACACTTGGCATTAACACAGTTCCGTTGTCTTTCGTCTACCACTGTAGTTTTCCATGTATTGCAGAGGAATGAAGGAAAGCTGAAAGAGGAGCAGCATGTTGTGAACCACTCCACAGGTTGCTTTCACCACAACAGAACCAGCATAAGGGGCTGCTGTTAGCGGTCCCTTAATGCCACATGAGGCAGGTAAAGGCTCGGGTCGAGCCATGAGAGCAGAGCTTTCCGCCGCCACATGCCATGATGGAGCAGGGGAGCGAAAACAAAGCAGCCTCGTGAGGAGGGGGGGGCAGAGGAGGAATCCCACCGCTGCACGCAGCCCGCAGCCCGCGTGCATGCAAATCAATAGCGGCTGCTACACTGCATCACCCGACATTACCCTCCTGTTGACATGTTATATCAGACCCGTTACATTTCCTTCACCGTACAGAACGGACGCGTTAGTGTGCGCGTCTCGGCGGCCACAAACACACAACATGCCACGAGGACCGCTGCCAGAAAGCACAGCCACCATTAGCGAAAATAAATAAAACACTTATAACAGAAGAGCCGGCTAACCTGCAGGCGTAGCTCCAAATATCCGCACCACCGGCACTTTCTTTACGACGCTCTCCCTGAATTCAGAATAGCAGACGTCCAGGTCTTTAATGGGACTCGCCAGATAGAAGTCTGCGGTGACGATGCGCACAGCAAACATGACTGCCGCGTCCGACAAACAGGGACCGACCGTCAAAAAGCAGAATAACTACAGCTCGGTGTCCATAAGATGCAGGCACCTCGGTGGCCAGTCAATACCAGCCAAAGGGAGTGTTGTCACGGCGGTAAAACAACGACAGCGCAGAGGTGGAGCCCGGCTTTTTCCCATGAAAAAATGCCAACAAAGATTCCCGTGGCTCCAGCGCGCGACGATGTGCCGCCGTATAGGTTCTGCGGCGGCTGGGGGAGCTACACTCGACGGAGGCGAGTCACTGGACGTTTCTCAGCTGTCAGGTACATGTTGAGCTTGTGATTGTGGCTGATTTCAGCTCTCTATGGTGTTTTTGTTTTCAGCCAGGAAGACGGTGCCCAGGCTTCCGGTAGCGTTAGCTGTCCAATTCACGCCTCAGAACGAGTCCCAGCCAGTCCCGCTGTATCAGCCCCTCAGCTGCTGCTGCTGCTGCTGCTGCTGCTGCTGCTTCCATAACAGGCTAGCACCCGTTAGCCAACATATGAGCGAGGTAAGCTGCTTACAGGGCATACGAAAAGAACTTCCGACCACATTTTCAGAATAAAACGGGGGAAAAACGTGTCAGTCACAAAAAGCACCTCAGTGATGATAACTTTTTTTGTTGAAAGTTGTACATGATCTGGCACGTCTGTTTTGTGGCCAGTTGTTAAAGACTGTGACCAGTTTCAAAGTAGATTCAAAAGTCTATCATAAATCTAATCGATAGATTTATGATAAAAAAATTATAAAAGTAGGGTAGACATGTGGATGTTATCCGGCTGAACAAAACGTGCATTTATCTAACAGGTACGTTTCCCACAGATCTTATTTCGAGCTATTTTCTAAAATCCTATGGAGAAACCTCATTGCTTTTTTGTCGAGGGAAGCCATGCGCAGCTTACTTCCGGGTTTTAGGACGCGTCACTGCAGCTCTCTCGTCTCCTCTTCACACACCACACTTTTCGCGGCACACGTACTTACAGCCAATCAGCTCTGAATGATGTGAGATGACGTATGGTGGGGATGGCAGCTCAGTGCCCCTATGGTCATTATTTTTTTGCCACACACATTAAATAGGAAAATACTCTGAGCATGCGCAGTGTAGTTTTTACAGTCACCGTTCACTTCACAGTGAGAGGGAGGGGCATGATCAGGTTTTGTCCCACATGGCTCTAAACAGCTCAATAGGCACACACTGTGACTGTAGACACACTAATTAGAAGAACACAGACTAAAACAGCAATGTACAGACGAATCAGATGATTAATATATTATATATATATATAATATATATTTTTTATTTATTTTTTGCATTTTTTGTAATCATTATTTGTAATACTTTCTGCTGACACTAGGTGGGGCTGTGCCCCACCTGCCCCTAATGACCAGTCGCCACTGACTGTGACATATAGCCGTTGTCTTTATCATACACGTAACACGGCTAACGGGAAGTGTGCAGAAGTGTGGCTCCTATTTATCCAGCAGGAGACATCTTCGTGATGGCGGCCCTCCTTCGAATCATTTACCACAGGTTAGGGTTGAATTGGGTTGAATAGAGAAACTGTCTTTTGGTTTTGTCCTCTGCTATAACCGGTTCAAATCCAAATGAAACAAAACAAACAAAAACGTTTATAAAGAAGTAAAATATACAATATGGTCGAGCTCAGCGGTTTTCAAAGTGTGAGGCGCGCCTCCCCTGGGGGGCGCCAGAGAGCTTCAGGGGAGGCGCAGCGTGAGAAAAAGAACAACGAGAAAAAGACGAGTAAAGTGACACTTGCACACTTTTGGCTGTCTGTGGAGACCGAGTTCCCCCACCTCGCCAAAAAGGCTGTAAAAGTGCTCATTCCCTTCACCTCCACCTACCTGTGTGAGTCCGGGTTTTCCGCATTGACTTTGATCAAAAGCAAGTGCCGGTCAAGGCTGCAGCCAGAGGATGATCTGCGTTTATTCCTGACTCATTGTTCCCACTAAAGTAGGGGTGAGTGTAATAAGGAGGCAAAGTTGACGTTCAGTGTGTTGCCGGGAGCATATAAGGATGTTGGAAATGTAAAAAATGTTTAAAAAATATGTGTTGAGAACGCGGCGTGCGAAAATATACGGGTCGTGCTGCAGCTAGATTTGCCTGTCCTCTGTAAGGCCCAGACACACCAGGCCGTCACCAGAGAACTCACCGACACCGACACCGACAGTTGCATCGGCGAGTTCTCCTGCGTCTTGGCCATGTGTCGCACTGGAACACACCGCAAAGACTTCAGCCGAGCACGTACAAACTGCGCATGCGTGAGTGGCAATAACTCCTTACCAGCAGGCGGCGGTAGTGTGTATTCGTCATTCAAAATAGGCAACAACCGGAAGACAGAGAAGAAGAACAGACTGATATAAACAAACAACAAATAGCGTGTGCGTTCCATTTTCACTCTCGTCCATCGAAAACATGTTTTAGAATATAAAAATACATGAATGATGAAATGAGCACATAAAGTGCAGACATACTATAAAATCACAGTTAATAGACCTGCATCTGATGATCGCAGTGTTCTGGCGGGTGTGTAGTTTATTGAGTCAGCAATGTATGTAATGTAATAATGGCCACTTCTTGCTAAATTTACATTTCCATGTGATGCTTTTATCCGAGGCGACTCACAATAGGTAAATGAACAGCAGTAGACAGTATCTCATTTACTTAGACACTGTACTTAAGGACAATGTTGAGGTACTTGAGACTAATCCTGCAACTTTATACTGACAAATAAACCGATGAGATGAAAAACCGGACATGACCAAACAAATCACGGAGCTCTCAGCAGAGGACAGCCGGGGACGCTTCCGCCGATATCAGAGATGTCCCTGCTATGTGTGGGAGGTAAGAGAGGACATTTAAGGGCTATGTTTGATGTCTTTAAGTATCACCTGCTGGTGTTTAGCTGCTGTCCTGTGCCTTCTTAAATCGTTTGTTTACGTCCCTCACTTCCGTTTCGCTTCTCATTTGCTAGCTGAACAGCTGATCAGAGTGGTTTCTTGGCCCGATAGCTTGTGTCCGACAAATGGCAGATTCAACATGTTGAATCGGCCATGTGTCGACCGTGAAAGGCCAAATAAGGCGTGTCACGGCCGAGGGTTCGGGACACACCAAATTGACTTTGGGCGACAGGGCACGCTTTGTCGCCAGACAACCGAAGACGGCCGATATCGGCCTGGTGTGTCTGGGCCTTAAAGAAGGTGTCGGCGACTGACATGCAAGGAAGAACGACTGTCCACAGGCTGTTCCAACTTTAACAACTTTATTAACTTCCAGGGTAGTGAATTGAACATGCAATTGTAATCGGGTGTGTGGTATATTTTCATGCACGGACACGCATGTTCCACAACACACAAACTGAACAACACTCAATTGTCCGATCGCTACCAGTGTCCTTGCGATCTTGTTATAACAACAAGTGCACGTTACTGATTCAATATGGTTGAGACCATTCAGGCTTATTCTAGAGGGGTGCAAGGAATAGTCCAAGTAGTGGGGGAGTTTTATACAATATGTTTAAAACATAAAGATAAAAAGGTTTAAAAAAGTTATTGTTTAATGTTTTAAGGAGGTGACGCTACTCAGCCAATCAAATCGGTGCAGTCAGTGAGTCAGCGCGATAGATTCAAACACACACACAGAGACGAGACAAGAGGAGAGAAACAGTCTTCATTTTCTCTTACTGGACCTCTTTGAAATACAATTGAATACCCCTGCATTATAGCAACAACAACAATAATAATAATAATAGCAATAATAATTGGGAGGGGGGGGCGGCTGTTCTTATGTTCTCTGAGGGGAGGCTCACCTTCCCACACTTTGAAAACCCCTGGTCTAGCTGCAGCTGCAGCAAGTACACGACACGCCCCGTACACGATACGCCCCCTACACGACACGCCCACCTGACACGACACTATGGTGGCTGAGTGACGTTGATACCGTACATGGCAGATTAAAAACAAATTGCAAATGTTATTGTAGCATTTTAAGCAACTATTAGGCAAATTAATTAATAATCTAGTCTATCCGTTTGAGACACAACAGCATATGACTTTAAGCACAAATCATTTTGTCTAATTAATAAATTAAAACAAAAAGGGGGCTTAGTAAACTTTATTTTTTAGTACACATAAAATAGGTAATAATGAGATAATCTATTAATTATGTTTGTCTAACTGCTACACATGTATTTATACATAAATGTAGATATTTATGAACATCTAAATATAGTTGTTACAGGTTTTAAGATATACATAATCACATCATGGGGTCATTAAGGTTTCAAACAGGTTCATGTAAGGTAGGCCTACTATAACATGAAAACATGATTTTTAAAACTAATTTCTGAATCTCACATTAGCCTGTAGTTTGGTATGTTATTGATATGGGCTGGACACCTCTTCACAATGATCATCATTGACTTTTTTTAGACCAAATTAGGAGGGCCAGTCAGGCCACTAATGAGCTCAATAATTCACATGTATTATTACTTTATAAATTAAGAGTACTAGGGGTCCATTTCAAAACCTTTGAAGGAATCGTCATGCATTCTGAATGTTTCTGTACTTTAAAAACAGGCATCATGGCTTAAGATCCTGTTCTTGTTTAAGATTATTCATACTCATTTGTGAATTTAACATCCATATTCACTCCTCAAAACTGAAACACCAACATTTTTTGTTAAAGCATTGCAGGCCTAAAGCTCCACGTCAGTGACCTATATTTTAATTTCTTCCATCAAACTTTAAAAATGGCAAAGAGCATGTTTTTAAAGATTTAATCTTTTAAGAAACAAAATATCAACTTTGAACAGAAGGGTTTAAAAACACGTTTTGAATGCAAATAAACTTGAAACATAAACCTATTTGTCATTTCAGAATTCACTTTTATTGTCTGCGTGAAAGGCACAGTAGGCTATGAGCGAATACATATCAACATTCAAAAATTACAAAGTCGTACAATATATAGGCTACCATGTGCTACTGTCTAGGATTAAGTATGGTGAGACTTTTCAGCCCGCGACCCCCAAAATAACAGTGCCAGAGACTGGCGACCCGACGGGATAGTGATCTCCAGTGTGCTGGGCAGTGTTGCGGCGGAGGGAGCCGAGGGCACCACCGGAGGAGAGGCAAGCGATGACCGCAGCATCACCGTGGTGCAGATAGGGCAGAACGGGGAGTACCTGGGCACGGCGCGGCTCCCCGCACAGACTTGTTACACGGAGCCCATCACCGGGGAAGCTGCCGGACCGAGAGTTTGATCCTGCCTGCGGCGGCAGAAGGCGGTCTGCTCGGCCTGCCTCTGGGGTCCCTCCTTAAACAAATAAATAAAAACCTTTTAAATAAAACATTCATCTTAACAGATAAGATTTGATCATTTATTTTAAACGTCAGGCCTACAGCATGGCCACAAACCCCATCTACAAACAG